GGGCTTCGGGCGGTGGAGGGAGACGCTGGGAACTCGCCTTTCGCTTACCCGAGCCGAAGGGCGCGGGATGGCGCGGCTCGTCCTAAATGGCGTTGTTTGGGGGCAAGCGGGAGCCCACTGGAGCGCCTTCCTCCACCCGCACTCCTCAAAGACGCGCGCGAGACTGGGGCACGGGTCGAACTCGGGGACAGAGGCGGTTCTCGGGCGCCCCCCGTGCCGACTGCGCCGCGGCTGCGGGGACTCGGGTGGCGGGGCTGGACCTAAACACACCCCCAACCCAAAGATGCCCAGCAGAACGCCCCGAACAAAACCAAACGACGGTCACATCTGCGGGGGGTGCGGTATGGGGGGAATGTCACGTCCAGTCGTCTTACCTGCAATACAGTCTGCGCTTCTGTGTGTCTGGCAGAAGAACGAAAATGAAAAACTGCCATGGCCATCCAAGCTCCTTAAGCCAACCCCCTACCCTTCAACGCTCTCAGCTAAGTCATAGTTTATGAGACACTGCCAGATGAGAGTCCACGTGAAAACTAGTTTTCCAATTTCACTCTGAACCTCCACCAACGCAGCGAGTTAGATTTTAGGTTACCAGCTTCCATTTCGCAGAATTATGCGTGTCGGGAAACTCAGGGTTTCAGCCTCCTGCCACTCGCAGTGTGTCTTTCGTCCGAGTCTCTTTGTAAAGCAGGGCTTCCTCGGCGGCCTCCCCAGGAAGTCCCGCGCTCTGGCACGCGGCTCCCGGCCTGCCGCAGAGCGGCGCGGGCGGCCGGGAGGGCTCTAGGACCGCGGGGAGCCCCGGCGGCCGCGGCGCTACCTTAAACCCAGCCCAATGCCGCTGCCTGCGCCACTCTGCGCGCCGGCGGGGGCTGCGCAGGAGGAGCGCTCCGCCGGCTACAACGCTCCGCGAGCCGGCGCGGCAACACCTGTTCGCGGCAGCCAGGGCGGCACGCGAGCTCCCGGACGCGGCTCTGCTCGCCCGCCGCTCGCCACCCGTTCTGAGCCAATGGACATCTGCCGGACCTCTGGAGAATTCCGGATACTAGCTTTGGACGCCTGAAGTTTCTTCTTCTTTTTGTATTATTGTGTTTTTGAGGGGGGGACCAGGAGGGTCGATGTGTCGCCGCCACCAACGTGAGATTTTTTTCCCCTTGAAGGATTCATGCTGATGTCTGCAGAGTCGGTCAGAGAGTAAAAACGGCGCATGCCTTCCTGGAGTCGGGATCCGTAAATTCTGACGTAGCCCGTGCATCTTAAAATCCCTATAATAACGCCCAGGCATTTAAGTTGCTATGGTCATTCTCATCTCAAACCAAATGGAGAAACTACAGATTTTTTTCCTGATTACGGTCGGATGGGATGAAGACCTTCCTGCCTACTAAGAGCTGGGGATCTATCCATAGAGACACATAGATATGTTTATCAGTATGTCAGTGTGTGAGTATAAAGTGGTGGTTTCTTAGATTATCAGTGGTTTGACCTTGAACCTGTGCCAGTGAAACAGCAGATTACTTTTATTTATGCATTTAATGGATTGAAGAAAGGACCTTTTTTTTTCTCTCTCTGCAACTGCAGTGAGGGAGGGGAGTTGGATATACCTCGTCTAGTATCTTCTCCTGGGTCGACACCATCATTATTGTTTATTCTTGTGCTCCAAAAGCCGAGTCCTCTGATGGCTCCCTTAGGTGAAGTTGGGAACTATTTCGGTGTACAGGATGCGGTACCGTTTGGAAATGTGCCCGTGCTGCCGGTGGACAGCCCGGTTTTGTTAAGTGACCACCTGGGTCAGTCCGAAGCAGGGGGGCTCCCCAGGGGACCCGCAGTCACGGACTTGGATCATTTAAAGGGGATTCTCAGGCGGAGGCAGCTATACTGCAGGACTGGATTTCACTTAGAAATCTTCCCCAATGGCACTATCCAGGGAACCAGGAAAGACCACAGCCGATTTGGTAGGTATACTGTTAACCCTTTAGTGTCCATGCGATGACATGTTCGGATTATAACTACCCAGAAGGCGGTGGCCGGGTGGGGGTTGCGGGAAAGGATCCCCCCACCCCCGTGTCTCTGTCTCTGTCTATCTCTCTCTCTCTCTCTGTCGCCAGCTCGGGGAAAAAAAAAAAGCCTACGGAATTGCAGATCTGCCTCTGGGACTTGTGCAAATCTAAACTGAAAGGCCTTTTTATTTTATATTTTCAAATTTAAAGGGGGGGCATGGTTTATAAACATACGACAAGTCCCTAGTTCTTGTTTATCAGATACACGGGAAGACTGGTTGTAGGAAGTTTCTTTTGAATGGGCTGCTTCCAAGAGTTTAAAGCTTTAATCATTAACTACTAAGAACTTAAAAATGCATTCAGTTTCCTGGAGGCAGTGGGTATCTTGTGCCCAAATGAAGGTTTTTTCCCTTTCCCCTTTCCCTCTAATAAGTATACTGCTTGAATTGCAAATTAAGTGTATTGTTTATTCCCCTTGTGAGGGTCTGAAAGCCCCGTAGGCGAAGGTTGCTGACTGATTGTTCTGTTGGGAGGAGGACTAAAGTCATATTTTTGACTCCGCGAACAGCAGGGGCAGAGGCGCTGGGGGAAGATGTCCTGGAAGGGTCAGAACGCTCACCAGGAGTGTTTGTCCTTCCAGCTACCAAGTTATAGCCTCCGCTTTTTAATTTCCATAGTGTGCAGCCCCGTGTGAGTTTCTTGTGTGGCTCTCTGGTGTGTCTGCGCGCGTGCAAAAGCTGCGAGCTAATTTTAAAGGGCATCCCGAGGATTTCATTTTCCGAGGGGGCTATTTGTGACTCAGCACTGAGGGCTGGTGGCTGTGCCCACTTTCATGCCTGCACACACGTGCCTGCTGGGCACCCTTAGCCCAGCAGCACGAAGTCAACTAACACAGTCCCGACTGGGCGAGGAGGGGGTACTCTCGGTTTATTTTTTATTTTTATTTTTATTTTTTACTCTGAAAACAGTTGGGGCAACCAGACTGTCGGAAGGAGTTAACTTCTGAGTGAACCCACCTGACAACACTTAAACCAGGTCGTAAAAAACAAAGTCCTGTGTGATTTTTCTTCCTCATGCTTTAATGCCAGATGTCGAACACAATCTAAACTACACGTTTAGCTTCGTGGGGCTGTAGATCATGCCGGAGGTGAGGAGGATTCGGGCCTGGGATGGGGATGCTCCCAGATCCACGAGGCCCAGGATCTTCTCCTGTCTCACCACTGAGCCTAAACCCAGAGCCGAACCTAGTCCTGTAAATTTCTCTGGCCATATTTCCTCGCTGCTTAAAAAGTTGTAGCTCTGCGCTTTAAAGCTACTCAGTTGAAATGAAAGCGTCCTCCCACCTCCAGTCCATAAGTAAGCGTAGCTTCTGGTCGTTGCAAAGGGAAGGCTGAACTTTACTAAAAGTGCCGCTCTATTGGCCGCTTTAAGGGCTGCCGCCGTGCCGAGCGTTCAGTACCAGAACAACAGGCAGTGGGCGCCCGTGGGTGGGAGAGCGCGTGTCCGGGGCCGCAGGGGCCGCGGGCCTGGCG